AGACTATCCTAGTGTGCGAAGGAGAGCCTACCATGGCTGAAGTTGGGCTGGTGGGAGTGATGTGGAGGAAGGTGAGCTGGTTGCTGGGACTGCGACAAAGCAATGTGGGGGATGAGAACCTGGAGGATGGAAGGAGGGAATATGGAAAGGGAGATATCATTATGGAGCATGACGAGGAGGAGGAGGAGGAGGAGGAGGAGGAGGAGGAGGAGGAGGAGGAGAAAGAGAACGAGGAGGCGGAGGAGGAGAAACGGGGCTGATATGGGGAGGAGAATGGACGAAGGGGGTTGGGTGTGAAATAGTTCGTCATTAAATTCAAAGAGAGCTTGAGAAGGTCAGGAGGGTTGAGAGTAGAGGAGGAGCGTCAGTCGTCGTCGACCTTGATAGAGGAGGAGCCGAGGCAGCAGAGGAAGGAGGTGGGGGGATGCTCGTCGAAGGCATACGACTCGCAGTAGCTGAGAGATCTGTCGCGCTCGCCATTGCGATGGCGATACTTGTTCTTGAGAGAGTAGGCCTTGCGGTTCTTGTTCTCAAACTTCTTGTACGTCTGCGGCGGCAGAATGAGGCCATGGAGCAGAGAGGAGGAAAGGAAACAGGAGCAGGAAACGAGGTGGGAGGTGGTGAAGGACGAGGAAGGAAAGAGAAGGGGCGCGTGGGGAGGGAAGGGGGGAGCGAAGTAACATGTCAGAAGGTAGAGTGATGAGGACTGCTGGGGGAGAAGACTGTTTGCGAGAATGAGGAAGCCGGGGAGTCAGAAGCCAAGGGCCCAAGCGCCACCTGCTTGAAGAACTTGGTGCGCTTGTTGAGGTAGTAGAACTGGATGCAGTCCCTAGTCGTCTTGTTGGGAAGGAAGCGACTAGTCGGGGACAGTCAGTCAGAAGCAAAGGAAGGGAGGAGGGGGACGAGGAGAGGGGGGGGGGGGGGAGGGGAAGGAAATGGGAAGGAGGAGGAGGAGGATCCAGTAAAGAGCCCCACAAGTTTCTCCTCCTTCGACCCCCCTGTGACTTGGGATTAAACGACCTGGTCCCACAACGGATCCCTCACCAAACCCGCCCCTCATGTCCAGCAAGGGAGACGAACTTGGTGCAAGAAAAAGTAGACGAAGAAAAATTCACGAGATGGCGGAAAGTGACGTTCAGAGAGGGAGATAGAGAGGAGCAAGACATTGCTGTAGCCAAGGGATGATGGAAAGAGGATGGGGATTGAATAGAATGGAACAAGAGAGATGGAAGGAGGAGAGCAAGCAGGGAGATGGGCTGCGAAGGGAGGAGGGAGGAAAACAAGGAAGGAAGGGAGGGAGGGAGGGAGACCGTTGTTGCTTCGGAAGATGTAGTTCTGACGCTCGTGGGCGGTGAGAAGCATGTTGGGGACAATTGCAACGCTGCCAAGCACGTCAGAAATGTTGACAGGAGCTCCGGCGCCGCCCTGCCTGGGAGCGATCTCCTCCTCCTCCTCCTGAAGCATCGGTGAGCACCAGAGAAGCGAGTAGAATACAACATAAGGGGAAACAAGGAGGGAAGGAGAGAGGATGGGACAGCAAAAGGGAAGAGAGAAGATAGAGGCCGAAGGGGGAGTTGGGAAGAGGAAGGGAGGGAAAGGACCTCTTGTCCTTTGGGTTTCTGCTCGGCTTGTCTCGTTTTTCGGCGGAAAGGATCTTGAAGCTCTACATGAGCAGGTCAACTAGCAGGACGAAAAGACACGAGAGGCACCAGGAATCTCAACGACTGGCTTCGGTTTTCTCTCCCTCTTGATGTTGTTGACCTTCATCGTCGCTTTAGCTCCTCCTTCTCCACCTCCTTCTCTTTTTCCTCCTCCTCCTCCTCCTCCTCCCCTTCCTCCCTTCTGCAACAGATCGAAGGACATCCGTTACCTGGAGCCACTTCTTCATCTCCTGTCGATATTGAGCTGGTGAACATGTCACATACATTCCAGCGCATCACTTCTCCTTACCCGCAACCTCCAGCTCTCTTCTCTTCGCCTCCTTCACCTGCATCATCTCTCAGCCCTCCGCTCCCCTGCCTCTCCGCTCCTCGCAACTCTCCTCCTCCTCCGCTCTCCTCGACTCTCTTGCTCCTCTCCTCTCCTCTGCATCCTCATCACAACCTGCGCCTGCACGAAGGTCGCCACGTGCTTCTTGACAACTTGGTGCCGCTCGAGGTTGTAGAAGTAGAATGGCGATTTCTGCGCACAGCCGCCAATCATCGTAGAGCGCAGTCAAAGGAGCGCAGTCACCTCCACCGACTGATAGACAGGACTCGCCTCCTCTTCCGTCTTGAACTCAAACGACAAGATGCTCGAAATCTCATCGTGCACCTGATCAGAATCCGTGTCAATCGTCGTGCTCCTACTCCCTGATCCTTCCTTCTTTCCTTCCCATGTGAAGCTTCCAGCCTCCGCTGATCCCCTCCACTGCTACCACTCTCCTAGCACCACCACGATCCCCTACCTTCTTCACAGTAGCTCGGTTTTTCTCCCACAGCGTGAGGGCGAGCAAGGAAGGTTTGACTTCCTTGGGTTGAGGAGAGTTCTCAGTCTTGAAGATTTGGGCCTCTCCATGTGACGATTGCGCTATCAGCCCGTTGATCGCATCTTCTGTCGACGCAATGGCCTCATCAACAGTCTGTTGAAACCATGCTCAGCTCTCCTCGTTAAAAATTCTTCCAGCTCCTCTCCCTCCTTCTTCCAGCTCCTCGCCCTCCTTCTTCCAGCTCCGCCCCCTCCCGGCCGCCTTTCCACCTTCGTCCTCGCATTCCCCCTGCCCCGAACTCCTCCTCCTCTCTCTTTCTTCTCCCTCGTTTCCTTCAAACCTCACCTGGATCTTGGCGAGAATCTCTTCCTGTGTCAGAGACACTTCTGGTTCCTCCACCTTCTCAGCCGCAGCAGCCCCTTGCGCCGCACCCCCAGCATCGGGCACCTTCTCCTCGTCTCTTGGCATTAGACTTTCTCTTCCAGGAGGCTGATCGTCTTCTTCCATGGGCACATCCTCCTCAGAGTCCGATAGAGCTTCTAGATGCACGGGGAAAGTCTCTTTCTTTCTCGCCCCCTCCTCCTTCTCCAACACCTCCTCCTTGGGTGGAGCCTCCTTGGGTTGCTCCACTTCCTTGGGTTGCTCCACTTCCTTGGGTTGCTCCACTTCCTTGGGTTGCTCCACTTCCTTGGGTTGCTCCACTTCCTTGGGTTGTTCCACCTTCTCGTCTTTCCTGTCTTCAATTTGCTTCTTCTCTTCTTCTTTAACTTCAACCTCTCTGGCCCGATCCGCTTCTCTTGGCTTGTCAGCATGAGCTTCCTTCACTTCCACCTTCAGCTCTTCTGTTCCATTTGTCCCCTGATCCTTCTCGGTCGCAACTTCTTTTTTCTCGGATGTCTCTTGCCAGCTTTCCTTCACGTCATGGTTTGACGAGCCATAGTCTTCGCCGTTTGCCTTGGGCTCTGTACAGACAGAAAAAGTTTTACAAGAAAATCGAGCGACCGCATCATCATCATCATCATCACCATCACCATCATCATCATCATCATCATCATCATATTCATCATCATATAAGCAACAACAACAACCATCATCGGCATCGGCATGTCACGTTGTCATGGCAGGCTCACCGTCTTCTGGCTTGACAACTTTCTCCACAGACCTCAGCCCGAACCCGAACGTCAGCCTGGGCTTCTTCGACGCGGGTGTCGAGTAGGAGGAGGGGCTGTTGACACTCGCTGCGCCCTCTGACGACTCCACTGGGCTCTTCTGCCGCTTCAAGCCAGTGCCATTGCTGCCGGCAGAGATGTCGCTGATACCTCGCTTTTTTGTCTCGGTGTCGTTGACTTCATCAGTTGCCGGCACTTCATGTGCCTTTGCGCCTTCGGGGAGCATGTCGTCCTGGGGTACCGTAAGACCTCCCGTGAAGCACTGGTAAGAGCACTAGAGCACAGGAAGGCGACAGGATGAGGAGAGGAGAGGAGAGGGCAACGAGTCAAGTGCGAAGCAGAGACAGCAGAAGAATTGACTCGCTTCACCTTCACGGGTGTCGAGATAGTTGTCGGCAGCTCTTTTTCCATTCCTGACTAGAATGTCAGTATGACATGTTGAGAAAACCGAAGGGGCACCTGCGTCATGCGGTTGTTTCTTCTCATTCTGTGTGCTTGCAGCGTGCTCTTGTTCCAGCACCTGGAGGACAATGTCAAAGGCAAGACAGTGCATGATTATGTGCGAGAGGCGGGCGGGGGGGTCACGAGCAGGTCTGCTCGCGGGCGGTTCGCCCACGTCTGGAGGGCGCGATGGTCGTGCGCTCGGCTCTAGCATGCAGGTATGCACAGCAAATAGACAAAGACATAATGCGAAGTGAGACATGCGCATGAGCAGAGAGAGAATAGGGAGGCGGTGGGCGGACGGGAAGGAGCATGGAGGATTGAACATTACCGGCAACTCGTCGTCTTGCGCCCTAGACGGGCTGTACTCTTCTCCAGAATCCGACAGGGGCTCATGGAACTGCTGGTTTGACGTCCCGGGAAACTTCTCTTGAGCAGCCATGGCTGCCAGTGTTGGGATAGAGGAAGAGCAAGACGCGCTCCGGCGAACTTAGCTCGCGCCTGTCAGCTCGGCCCGCAAGTATCAAGCTCTCCCCGTCCACGACCACCAGGTTTTCATAATGCTGATCACGCAAAGCGCTCTAGAGCCAAGATCATTCACTTCCTTGACTTCTTCCTTCCTCCTCCTCTTCTGCCTCCTCCTCCTCCTCCTCCTGCAGCTCCTTCTCCTCTTTCTTGTACCCCCACCAGCCCCGCCATGCTTACGCGCTTCGAAACTGCCGTGTTTGAAAAGATTCTCTCAAGTTTCAAATCAGATCTCATCTTTTCCGGATTTGTGCAAATTTCAGTGGTTGATACCAAAATTCAAGACGGGCCGCCCGGTCTCCCGGGGCCCGGCCGGTCAGTGCCTTTACTCACTGAGCCACTCACTGAAATGGTCATGAGGGCGATGATTCATACGAGTACAGATGGAGCTCGGCAAGCCGATGATCGAGCTTGTCATCTACCATGGGTGGGGTGCCTTTTATATCCAGGGGGGTAGGGTGGACCTCAATGGACTCAAGTGGTCGGGTCAGGGGTGATAGCCCCTGGAATCGGTCTTGGATTCTAGGGGTGGGTCATCTCCTGCACACATCATCGAGGGGTCCCTGCTGCTTTTGAGGGTGGGGGAATATTACGGCGAGTTTGGACAGGGGTGGGGGTACTTCGATCCCAACGTCGATCGTTTCATATTATTATTATTAGCAGGGTAGGTAGGGAGTTGATATTAGGGGTAGTCGATGTAAGGGGTACGAAAATTGCACGGGTACTAAAATCAGTGCCTGTCAGGGGTGTAGTCTAGATGAGGGGTACTTAAGGACAAAGTGAGGGTGATATTTTCTTGATGGTACCCATTGTGGATTGATCGACAAACGAGATGATCGGGGGGTACTCTAATAAGTACCCGTCCAGTTGACACAGGACACGAGGGGGTAGGTCCCTCTAAGTGGTGGTTTAAAAGATGGTTTTAAGAGCAACCTGTACCCCTCCTTTGACAGAGAAAGTTGGGGGTAAGTGGCAGAGTGGTGGCCAGGATCATGCGAGTGGGAGGATTGATCGAGGCGAGAGAAGTGGGAGGAGGAGGAGGAGGAGGAGGAGGAGGAGGAGGAGGAGGGAGGAGTGGGCGAACGAGGACGAGGATTCTGGACGAGGGTCTTGCTGCATGGAAGAGAATTGGAATCAGTTTGTAGAGGTCAAGGTAGAAAGATCAGACGTGAATGTTGAGGGAAGGGCTAGAACACAATGAAGTCCCCGACCATTCCACTTCCCATCAGCTGACTGACTTTTGTGGGCAGGTGCTAAGAGGATGTAACATGTGCCGAAAGATGATATCATACTGAGAGAAATCCTCCCCCGCCTGATATCTCCGTGATCTTGTGGAGATCTTTCAAATGCTCTCAAGAACAAGGATCCGCGCTTTGTTCATCACAGCGTGTTGCATTCATGTCCTATCGTCCTTGAACACATGCCATGCCTCCTTTGGCGTCTCACTGTGCACCAAGCAAGGCCAAGAAGTCATGCAACAGCTCTCTGTCATCTTCCAGCGACTAAGAGGGGGTAGACACAGGTTAACCCCCGGGGACTCGGTGGACAACAGCGCAGCATGCATCTCGCCACTGCGGGAAGATGCTTGCGGCGTGAAGGTGGTTGGAGGAGCACGAACGAGAGAGTTCCTGCAGGGAAACCTTCGCGGAGCTGCCGATCCTACTTGCTTCCTGGACGAGAAGCTCGGCGTGATGGCGCCTGTCGATGTTGTAGCGACGTGCCCAGGGCCGAGGGCGCGAGGAGACAGCAAGAGAGGGCAGATATCATTCGCTGAGGCACAGGAGGCAAAGTCGCCAAAGCACGAGAAACCGAGCACGTTGAGGTTCGAGAAGGAGAAGGTCGCCATCTCGGATGTCACGAGCGCCATGGAGAGCGAGTCGGTACCGAGGAGCCAGGTGGTGAGCGTGAAGCCTGTAGAGGTGAAGAAGGGGAAGAAGAGAACACCGTCTGCTCCTCCTGCTGTCGAGCTCAGGATAGGGCAGAAACTCAACGAGGACAAGGTCACTGTGACCAAGAAGCTGGGAACGGGGTGAGGAAGAGGAGGAGGAGGAGGAGGAGGAAACAGCTCTGACGAAGTTGCAGTGGGTTTGGGACTGTTTATGCTGCTGTCGATAATGTAGAGAAGAAACCGATCGCTGTGAAAATTCAGAGGCCTGGAAGAAAACTCAGCCAGGTGAAGGGATTGAGGAGGAGGGGGAGGAAGAGGAGGTGGAGGTTGACTGGATGATGCCCAGGTCGCGCTGGACGAGATCAGCCTGCTGCGAGTAGTGAGAGAGAAGTTGGAGGAGGATGAAGGAGAAAGTCCGAGAAGATGCTCGGGAGGAAGGCACGTCGTGAGAATCTTCGGTCACTTTGTTCACAAGGGTTTGTCGGGGATGCAGGTATCTCCACTTACCCTCCTCTCTCTTCTCCTCTCTCTCCTGCTCCTGCTCCTCTTGCCTGTATGCTCATAACCTGACTCGATTCTTTAGGTCTGCACGCAGCTCGAGCTCCTCGGGCCTTCGCTCCTCGACCTGCTGAAGGACTGCAAGTACAAGGGTCTCCCTCTCCCTCTAGGTCAGAGAAACCTTGAGGGAGAGAACAACACATCACATCACATCACATCACATCACATCACATCACATCACATCACATCACATCACATCACATCACATCACATCTCATCACATCTCATCTCATCTCATCTCATCTCATCACATCTCATCTCATCTCATCACATCACATCTCATCTCATCTTATTATTTCACACAAAATCACAGCACACATCATGACATCCCATTACATACAGCGTTGTACTGACACCCCAACGCAGTCAAAGTCATCACGAGAGATGTCCTGAGAGGTTTGCACTTCTTGCACGAAAGATGTAACATCATACACACGGACCTGAAACCGGAGAATGTTCTTCTGTCTGTGAGGTGACATGCCATTTTAACATGCGATATCGAGATGGATTTGGAGATGGATGTTCAGACAGGAGGGAGAGGCGCAGAGTCGGCGCTATCATGATTTTCTGCTGTCTTTTTGTTCCTTGTGCAAGATTGTTTCTGGTGTCGAGATAACTTGCATTTCTTTCAGGCTGAAAGCAGAAACCTCTTCTTCGTTATCATCCTCCGAGCACGATGCGCCGTCTCAGGTTCTCAGCGTCGACAAGCAAGGATGGTCGAGATCGATCATCGGATCCTACCAAGACTCTCCCCTCTTGTCCTCCTCCTCCTCCTCCTCCTTGCTCCCCTGCTCCTGCCATGGTCGTTTCTGCGACGACGGGTCCTTAAGACCTGTGCACGCCAAGATTGTGGACCTGGGCAACGCTTGTCTAAAAGACAAAAAGTTCACTGAAGACATCCAGACGATTGAATATCGCTCCCCTGAGGTTCGAGGAGGAGGAGGAGAAGGAGAAGCGTGAGGGGGGGAGGGGGGGGGGGGGGGGGGGGGGGGGGCAGAAAGGAAGGAGGATAGAAATTGGACAGGAGTGTGTGTGGAGGGTTATTGGTGCACTGGAGGAGAGCTTGTAGGATCTGTTGGGGGCGGAGAGGTGGAGAGATGAGAGCGAGTTTGTGTTGGAGGGGAGGTGAAGAGAAGAGGAGCTGACTTGAATCCCTATCAGGTGATAGTCGGGTCGGGGTACGATGCTTCAGCGGATATGTGGTCACTTGCTTGCATGGTATTCGAGCTCATTACAGGAGAATATCTCTTCGACCCCAAGGTCCTCTTCCTCTCCTTCCTCCCCGTCTTGCCCCGTCCTCCTCCTCGTCCTCCTCCCACCTCCCAATCCCCCAACCCCCAACCCCCACCCGCTATCATCCTCCTCCACCTCGAACCAACGGTTCACAATCTCTGCCTCCTCCTCTCCCTCCCTCCCTCCCTCCCTCCCTCCCATCCCTGTCCTTATTTTTCTCCTCCAGGAATGTACAGCACATGGAAAGCTGCTCTACTCCCGCGAGGAAGACCTTCTAGCGCATCAGCAGGAGCTGCTCGGCCTCATGCCCCTTGCGCTGACCAAAGGAGGGAGGAGATTCAAAGAATTCTTTAAACCGTGAGCTCCTCCTCCTCCTCCTCCTCCTCCTCCTCCTCCTCCTCCTCCTCACTCCCTCACCTCTCGTTGTCCATTCCTCCCCCGCAATCATCTTTCAGTTCCTGTGCTCCTGACGGCCATGGCAGCAACGGAGAGCTTCGCAACATCTTCTCCCTCAAGTTCTGGGCCCTGCCGCAGGTCTTGCAGCAGAAGTACAAGATGAAGGAAGAGGTGGCTGCGCAGGTGAGAGGGCGGGAAGACAGCGAGGGAAGGGAGAGAAGCCGGGAGTGGGGAGAAGGGGAGACTGAGGAGACGCGATTGAGGAGAAAGGAAGGAGAAGCGAAGGAAAGGGAGGAGGAACAGAGAGAGGGAAAGGGAGGAGGGAAGGAGGGGGAAGAAGCTGACTGCTGCGATAGGTCAGCGACTTTCTCCTCCCGATGCTCAAGTTCAACCCCAAGGAGCGAGCGACGGCCCTGGAGATGCTCAATCATCCGTGGCTGACAGCAGAGGAGGAGGAGGTGAAGGCTGAGGTGAAGGAGGGAGCCGTCAAGGGAGGGCAAGAGGAGAGGAAGGAGGAGGAGGGGAGAGAGGAGTCGCAGGGAACAGAGAAGCGATAGCAGGGCGACATCGACGTGTAATCGTCGGTTGTCATGATATACTTTCTTCGCTTTTCTGCCTCTTGCTGCATGCCTGAGGTTTTTTATAATTGTTGTGATGTATTCTTTCGTGATTATTCTCGTTATTCATTAAATTCTTTTACACCATCCTCCCTTCTTCGCTCCATCTCCTCCATCTCCTCCTCATTCTTTCAGCTCTTGTGTCGTTTCACTGTTAATCTTTCAGCTGTTCAAGAAGCAGTTTCCTCGCAATTTCTGTGTGATCTGCATGACAACCATCAGCCTTTTGGGTACAAGATGGAAACGGACGAGGATGAAAGGATGAGAACGAGCAAACGCTGAAGAGCAGGAGGAGGTGAAGGAGGAGGAGCGGGAGGAGCAAAAGTATCGTTATCACCTGATGGCACGTCCTCTAATTCCTTGCACCTGCGAAGAAGTTGGTGAGGGGAGAAAGCCAAGAGCAGGTTCACAAAGGAGCAAGCGAGAGAAAAGAAGGGGGGGAAGGGAATGTTGGAGGGGATGGAAAGAAGGAAGGAGAGAGAGCAGGAAGGGACGGAGAGGAGGAAGGAGAGAGAGCAGGAAGGGACGGAGAGGAGGAGGCAAGGGAGTTGGCAGACCATGTTTTTGCGATTTCACATCTTGACTCGAGCAACTGAGAGAACATCAACATGAGAAAACCCAAGGGTCTGGACTCCTCCTCCCTCCTTTCATTCATCCCGTTGCTCCTCGTTCTCCTCGCTCGTCCTAAGTCTCCTCCCTCCCTCCCTCCCTCCTTTCCACTCTTTTCCACCTTCTTGCCCCGTAGCTTTCTCTTCACTTTCTCCTTTCTTCCCTCAGTGTTTCTCGCTCCCTCTCTCCCTCTCGCTCCCTCCATCCCTCTCGCTCCTCAGTCTCTCCTCACCTGCTCGACCACAGCGACAGGATCCACGAGCGCCTGCCCGCCAAGTCACCTCCAGCCCTCAGCCTCTCCTCCTATCACCAGGCTCTCATCGTTTGCGTTACGAACGAAACTCGGCGACTGATTGAGCAGCATCTGCATGAAGCTACAAGAGCAATTTCAGCGCAGGCAAGGTCAGCGAGAGGAGATGGTGGTGGGAAGGCGAGAAAAACGTGGAGGAGGAGGAGGAGGAGGAGGAGGAGGAGGAGGTCGAGGGTGTAGTTGGGATAACAACAAAAACACTAGAGGAAGCTCCTACTTGCGATCGACATCATAACCAGCGTCTCCTTCAAAATCTGTCCCATGCACCTGCATCACCACAACTCATCGTCACCATTTCATACTTCTCCTCATCCTCCCTCTCTTTCTCCCTCCCTTTTCTTCCCTTCCCGCCTCCTCCTCTCCTCTACCTTTCCAAATTTTCCACCGACTCCCTTCTCTACCCCCTCCCCCCCATCCCTTCCTCCTCCCTCCTCTCATTTTGGAATTTTACCATTAGCATACGATCGAGCCAATCAGCACTGGTTTGCTCGTTCTTGTTCCCCCGCTTCTTCTCGGCAATGAATTTCTTGGAATCGCCATCACGAAAATTCAACACACAGAGGAGAATTTCACCTTGATCGCAAGAAAAGTTGACAACCGCTTCAGCAGATCGTAGTTCCCTCCCCTGTAGTTCGTCCCACAGTTGCCTGATCGTCTCTTTATTTGCCATGTATTGTTGGTAGTCAAGTCTTACTGTCTGACACGTCGTGGGCAAAGACTGGGAACTGAACGAGTTTCGTGAGAACGTGAAGAAATGGAGAGGAGCAAGTGAGAGAAGAGAAGAAGACAAGACGACAAGACGACAAGAAGACAAGAAGACAAGAAGACAAGGAAGATGAGGACACGAAAGGAGGAGCGCAGGAGCGGCGGAGTAAGAACGTGGAACAAAAGAAGCAACGCGCAGACACACATCAACTGTCAACGAGAAACTCTGAAGACACCTGCATGTGAGCGTTCTTGTCCTCTTTCTCTCTCACTCTCTCGAGGTATCCTCGCCAGATCTCGTTCGACTCCTTGTCGAACAGCATCAGATCTTCCCGCCACTCGTTGGAGATCTCCTCTCTCAGCTTCCTGAGACGCCGGGCCCCGATCAGCATCAAAGGCAGTGGATGTAGAGGGGGGAGAGAGAGGGACAGAGGGAGGGGGGGAGGGAGGGAGGGAGGGAGGGAGGGAGGAAAGATGGATTGGGAGGGAGAGAGAGGAGAGAGGAGAGGAGGAAGGAGGGAGAAGAGATGAGAGATAGGAGGGCCATGGGGCAGAAAGAGCCGGCAGGGAAAGGCAGAAACAACGAAAAGGTGCCAACCCAAATTTTTGGGTACAA